CGCGCCGCCGGCCTGGGCGGCGCGGGGTGCCCCCGGGGGCCCGGGGGGGGGGGGCCGGTGGTCCGCAGGCGCACGCGCCCAAAGATCCAGCGCATTCCACGATATCGAGACGGAGGTTTGTCGCAGTTTTCGGCCTCCAGGGGCCCTCGCCGGGCCTCGGGACCGTCAAAAAAGGACTCAGGATGAAAAGCTGGTCCTGGGGAATGGGTCGAGACTTCCGGGGACCCCGTTATGAAAAAATCACGACGTCGGATCTCTGGGCACGCACACCTTGTCATCGCTCGCGCTCGGACATCTACTCCCCGTGCATCGTTCGGTTTCGCGCGTGTCTTTCCTTCGCAGGGTGAACCTGATGCTCCCCCATGATCCCCGCCGAGAAGACATGCACACGTCCGAGCGATGCCAAGGCACAGGCTGTCTTAGTATCGGCGGCGAGCGAGGGAAGGAAGTGAGAAGGAGAAGACCTTCTCGGAAGGCGGCAGGGCTTTTCGGAAACTCTTCGGGGAAGGCTTATGAGACTTATCAGAAGGCCAGGGGGATTCCGAGCCTTTTGAGAAGGCCTTCCCCTTCTCACTTCCCACCCGCGCGCGCCGCCGATATAAGAAAAATGATGAAGGCCTCGCGCGGCAACTTGAGACACAGTTTGCGCCAGATCCACGTCGGATCCACGTCGGAGCATCGCCGCGCGAACGTCCTCCCACATCTAACGGGGTAGACGTGCGGACTAGACTCTTCCTCAGACACACACACAGTCTTGTCGTTAGCGGCCTCGCGCGCAGCGACGAGGCAGAAAAAGCGTAACAGTGCGAAAAAAAACGACGGCTGGACCGCAGCATCGTTTAGGATGCAAACCTACCGGCGTCGGCCATCCAGGCATGGATGACAGGGAAAATACACGCCAGACCATGTGAACAACTCGCCACGGGTACATGAGAAGTGGGGAACGCCATAAGCCATCTGGGCATGGAAAGCATGGAGAGACATGCACAACCGTGGGGCTAACCGCACGGCGGCGTGGAAGGAGAACAAACACCAGCGCGCACACACAGACACACACACACACACATACACACACACGCGACGCACGCGCGCGCACGCACGCACGCACGCACAAACGGACACACACACACACACGCACACACACACACGCACATACACGCAACACACACACACACACAAATCCACACACACATACACGCACATACACGCAATACACACACACACGCGCGCACGCACGCACGCACGCACACGCACACGCACACGCACGCGCACACGCACACACACACACACACACGCACACACACACACACACGCAACACACACACACACACACACACACCACACACACACACACACGCATACACGCACATACACGCACACACACACACACACCACACACACACACCGCGCACGCACGCACGCACGCACGCACGCACGCACGCACGCATGCACACACACACACACACACACACGCACACACACACAGAGAGAGAGCACGCACGCACGCACTGCGCGCGCACGCACGCACGCACGCACACACCCACACACACACACACACACACACACGCGCGCGCACGCACGCACGCACGCACGCACGCACGCACACGCACACAAACACACACACACACACACACACGCACGCACGCACGCACACACACACACACACACACACACACACACACACACACCGCGCGCGTACGCGCGCACGCACGCACGCACGCACGCACGCGCGCACACACACGCACACACACAGCCACACACACACACACACACACACACGCACGCGCGCACGCACGCACGCACGCAAGCACGCACGCACGCACACGCACACACACAAACACACACACACACACTCACGCACACACACACACACACACTCTTTCTCTCTCTCTCTCTCTATCTATCTCTCTCTCTCTCTCTCTCTCTGGGATCAACGCTGGGGTTGTCAAGGGGATTGCGAAGCAGGAACATGCGGTGTGGGCATTGGATGAGGAACCCTTGGGCAAAGAATCCAGGGTCTGGGAGCCGTCGGAACTCAAATCATGGATCGGCCATGTATATCACCGCCGCACTCATCAGAGAAGGAAACCTCCAGGGTCTGAAGCTTACTGGGCACATTCCTTTCCCAACGCCCAAACGGTAGCTTATACGTGGGTTATATAAGTGCCCTCAGCAGTTCAGGGTGATTAGAGAACACCGCGAAGTGGACGGGACGAGCCCCCATACTCCAACTGCCCCTCCCCCCCACTCACGAATGGCGAACGTATCCGTACTTATCCACGTCCTCGCGGTCTGGATTCCAGCGCGCGATCCCGAGGATACGCGTTCGCACAGAGACGTTCTGCGCAGGGCACCTGTGAAGAGAAAACAAACAAAAGACGATCCACATCCGCGGGGTCGCGGCCCCCGGGCCTGTCCGCGAGGCCGCGGATACGGATACGCCGTTGCCCACGACCTTCCACACCCCCTCCTCGCGCGCACTGATCTGTTTTCTCACTGTACTCTTCCCCTCGCGCCCATGTTGTGCATTACGTTGCCGCCCTTCGCCTGTCGGGCCTGGCACCCGTCTTCCGCAACGAGGTGAGTGCCGTAATCATCTGGCAAAGGTGTGTACAGAGAGGCCTCCCAGACGGGGTCGGAATATATGGGGCCGGAGGATCGCGCCGCATCGACAATGCATTGCAAATGCATCGGCGATGCATCACCGACGTCGACGACGCATCGGCGCCGTGGGCGCGGAGAAAATAAGGCCTCGCATCGAGACGAATCGTCGATGCATCTGCGAGGCGGTGCGACCCTCCGACCCCATCTTCTCGGATCCCGCTTGGGAGGCCTAGACTGCAGACGACCCTATTCTTCTGTGTCGCTCACTTGTCGCTCCCCGCAATGCCATAAGCTCCGGGGTCGCCCCCGGTGGCGTGGGGTCGCCCAGCGCGGCCCTCCTCCTCCTCCTCCTCCATCTCCTCCTCCGCCACCGCCTCCTCCTCCTCCTCCTCATCCTCGCTCCTCCTCCTCGCTCCTCCTCCTCCTCCTCCTCCTCCTCCTCCTCCTCCTCCTCCTCCTCCTCGCTCGCTCGCTCCTCCCCGCTCCTCCTCCTCCTCCTCCCCCTCCTCCTCCTCTCCTCCTACTCCTCCCTCCTCCTCCTCCTGCTCCTCCTCCTCCTCCTCGTTCGCTTCTTCCTTCTCCACCCCCTCGCTCCTTGCTCCTCCCTCCTCCCTCTCAGGTAGCCGCCGCCCCGGCTCGAGGCTCTGGGCGCGGATGCCAAGCACCCGCGAACCTCACTAAGGGGCAGCTGCCATACGCGCCGGCCCACGCCCGAGCGGCGCGCGCGGGCCCGGCCGCGTCCGCCTGGTGCTGCGCGGCCGCCGTCAAGCTTAGGTCGGGCGCGTCCTCCCACAAGCGGATCTCGGACGAAAAATAGAAAATAGACAAAAAAAAAAAAGCCCAACAAGTGATCAAACATACTCCCAAAATCGTCCCCTTACTATTTCTTGACTATTTTTCAATATTCCCCCTGTAGAGGGACAGGCCCGACTTAAACCTGCTGCTGCGCGGCCGCCGCCAAGCCTGCGCGGACGGGGGCCCCCCACGCCTCGCGACGGGGCTCGGCCGCAGCTCACCGAGCCCCTCCGCCGACGTCAACACCGCCCGCCGCGGCGCCAAGCGGCCGCGCCGCCTACTGCCCGAGCCAGCCTGGCACGTGCAAGGGCGGGCGAGGCTGGCGCGCGCGAGCGCCCGCACCCTGCTGAGGGCAACCGCTGCGGCGCGCGGCCTGGAAGCGCACCACAACTCGCAGGGCGCTGCTGCAGGTGGCCGCTCGCGGGAGCAGTTCGAGACGTTCGAAAGAAGGCAGGGCGCTGCCGCTAGTGGCCGAGCGCCTGGCGGCGGCGGCGGAGGCAAGAGCGGCCCTAGAGGCGGCAAGGGCCCGCGCGCAGCCGGCACAGGCAAAGGTGGCCCACTGCCATGGCAGCGGTTCCCCCTGCCCGGCCCCCCGCCGCCGCCGCCGCCGCCGCCGCCGCCATGCTGGTGGTGCCCCAACTGCGGCATTGCCAACTCGGACAATGCCCCCAGTGCAGCACGTGGAGGCCGACCCACCTAGCCTAGCATGACCTTCGATGGCACTGACAAGTCGAGGCGACATGACAACTCGACGCGACGTGACAAGTCGAGGCGACGAAACACGTTGCAATCCAACACGCGACGTGACGCACCAGGCCCGCTTGGCATTTTGCCAGCCCTGCCTCGCGATGCGCGTGCTCACCCGTCGTGGATAGACCCTCCTCGCGACCCACGTGAGCTCCCAGCCCACCGCATATCACTGCGACAGATGACGGCAGCGACACACACCTGACTCAAGGCCGCCAGGGAGCTCGGCGTGACCCAAGAGCAGCCCACTGCCAAGGAAGGGGAGCTCATGATGTGCATGATCATCACAGCTCGCAACCCAGGCCAACGCTGCGACAAGCAGCGCAGTTATGTGCCGAAGGCCGAGATCCAGCTGAAGCGCGCCATCGACGGAGTCACGAAGTTACAAGAGAAGCTAGAGGAATCAGATGCCAAGTCTGTTCAGCGCGTAGCTGAAGTCAAACGAGCCAAACGAATGTTAGAGCAACTGGAGAAGATTGGCCCCGTGACACGCACGGGGCGCGGGGACGGTGATGATGATAATGACGACGATGATCCTGAAGGTGGTGATGATGACGAAGTTGAAGATGATGTTGGTGGTGATGGTGGCGGTGGTGATGACGGTGAGGGTGCTGGTTATGAAGATGGTGTCAATGATGCGTGTGGTGATGATGGCGATGACGATGACGATGATAACGATGATGATTATATCGATGATGGTGTTGATGGTGATGGTGATGGTGATGACGATGACGATGACGATGATGCTGATGATGATGATGATGATGATGATGATGATGATGATGATGGTGGTGGTGGTGGTGGTGGTGGTGGTGGTGGTGGTGGTGGTGGCGGTGGTGACGATGATAATTTGTTGACAGAATCGGGGCCCAGTGGGAGGGGGACTTCGGGAGCCAGCACGGGGGCCCTCTGCCCGCTTCGAACGCAGATCTGCACCGCCGAGACCAACACGGGTGCGGTCAGCGGCCAAACACAAAAAAGGGGCAAAAGGGAGTCGCCCAGCACAGGCGCGATCTGCGGGGCGCGCCGCCGCAGACCCAGACAGCAACAGAGACACGACATGGCCGAGGACGGACGGGGGGGGGCGAGGGGGCGGAGAAAAGCGGGGCAGCCCACGCGGGGCGAGAGAACAGAAAGCTGTTTAGGGCACGACGCAACGAAAGCGAAGCGCATCACTCACTCACGTCGACTCGCTAGCTCGGAGTCAGCTGAACGACGATCGTCGCGGTTGAAGGTTCCGACCCAGTGGACACGAGACATGGCTGCATATCAAAGCAAAACGGGGGTTGAACCGTCAAGAAATACATCATCATGAAGGGGGGCTGGTCCACTCATTAATTTTCGCATTAGACGCTTAGTGCTGACTTAGCTCACCCACGCTGGCGAATGCGATGCTGAAGAAACTCGCCCATTGAAAAGACAAGGCCATCAATGCCAGTCGCGACACCTCTAGGTCAAAGACGGTCCAAGCTGTGGACGCCGGCGGCGGGTCTTACGCAATCAAGTTTGCCTCAAGCCACTCCGTCCACTCCTGAAGCTCCTCCTCCATGCGACCCGCTGGTGCCGCGCCTCGGAGGCGTCGTCGACCTGCCTGGCGCAGCCCGTCGATCAGCGCGCACCTCCAGTCGACCGACATCTGCACCGCCAGCACGACATTCGTCTGGTCGTCCTGCGTCGTCTCTTGGGGGCGGCACATGCGCGCGAGCTGCTCCGCGTCCTCGGCCTTCCCGCACGCGATGATGTTCTCCGAGGGCTTGAGCATGCTCTTCTGGTTCTCGCCGCCGCAGGCCTCCAGCGCGGCGGCCGTCTCGACCAGGGCCGCGAATATCATGGCGTGAGGCGGCCCGAGCGGCTCCAGCACGGGGTTGTCGATCTCTGCCTTGCGGCAGGAGCCCACTCGCTGCGCGAAGGCCCCCTGCTCCTCCTGCGTCGCCTGCACCAGCTTGTGGCTCTTCGGGGACATGGTTGTGTCTAGCAGGATGCCCTCTGTCATGCGCACCTTCTGGGTGTTGCCCAAAGTCTGCTCGAGTGTGAGAGCCAAGAGCTCGCGCAGTCGTTTGTCCTTGACCGACAGGCCCTTCGCCGCCTTCTGCTCGCCCTTTGTTGCGGCGCTTGCAGCCCCTCCTCGTCGCGCGAAGCCCGTTCCCAGCGGAGCCCATGGGAGCGCCTCGTCTGCCAGGCTGCGCGGAGTGCCCCACCGTTCCCAGACGCTGGCGTGGAGGCCCGCGAGCGCCCTCGTGCGAAGGAGCCGCCGCTGATGAGAAGACCACGGCCCTCGGCCTCGGGGGAGGTCTCGCAGAAGAAGGACTCGCGGTCGCTCGAGCACGACTGCCCAGCTTGGGACGAGCAGCAAGTCGTCCGGGGCCACGCGCATTCCACGGCCCGAGACGAGAAGTGTACAGGGATGTGCTTACGTAGGGGGGCGCGGAGAGCCCCGACGGATGATGAAGTGATGATGCCGATGATGATGATGATGATGCTGATGATGATGGTGGTGCTGATGTTGATGGCCATGTTGATGCTGATGATAATGATGCCGATGGTGATGATGATGACGATGATGATGATGATGATGATGATGATGATGATGATGATGATGATGATGACGATGACGATGATGATGATGATGATGATGATGATGATGATGATGATGATGATGATGATGATGATGATGATAAACAAATGGGTGCGACCCCGCCTGCAACCAGTTCGGCACACCTCTCACACGCTTCGTGGCCACATAGGGAGCTTCACCGAGGGCCCCAGTCGGCGCGCTCGCATGGCACAACCGCGCACATCTCGGCACATCCCTCACACGTTTCCACCGAAGGCCCTGGTGGCAGCGCCCGCACGGCACCATCGCACCCATTCTGGCACACCCCCCACACGCATCGTGGCCGCATAAGGAGCTTCACCGAAGGCCCCAGCGACTGCGCTCGCATGGAACCACCACGCCCGTCTCGGCACACCCCTTGCACGCCGCGTGACCCCCTAGGGGGGCTCCCCCAGAGGCCCCAGGGCAGCGCGCGCATGGCACCACCGCGCCCCGCTCAGCACATCCCTCACACGCTTCGTGGCCCCAAAAGGAGTTCCACCGAAAGCGGTCGGCACCCACGACGCGATATTCACAATTGCATCTGGCTGTGTCCATCGCCCGGATGTGTTTGAGACACACGGGGCCACGCCCCCCACCCCCCGACACAAACTTTGTTCGATTTGAACCGCCTATAAATACGACATGCGCGACGACTACGCTGCCTTTAGACATGCATGAGGGAGAGGGGGAGTTCCGAAACTCTTTTGCTGCGTGTCCTGTGGAGCGGAACCCCTACATTGGAGTCACAGGTTGGACTCCAAACTTTGCGCAGTCAGCTGATCCCGTCGGAGGCAGGGAGCTGATCCAGAGATGAGGCGTTTTGAGCCCCCCACACAGGCCGAGCAGCCTTCTCGGGGCGTCGTTTTGGATCCGACAGCGACTCCAAGGCCCAGCGGACCTTCAGAGGCAGATGAAGAGCAAGAGTACGCAGACGCTCTTGAATGTATGGAAGACCACGTCTCCCCGTCTCCTGCCTCCGTTCCCACGCCTCCTGCGCCAGCCCAGCTTACCGATGAGATCCGCGCACGCATCGCGCAGAATCGAGCCCGCGCACACGCGCGCAAGCGGGAGCGACTCGAGCGTGAGCGAGCGCGACACATTCGGACCGTTGCGCCCTGGACGGCCGACCCGAACTTTGGGGTCGGGCTGTTCGATCTAGCGCAGTAGGTACGTGCATGCCGATGCCAACAGGACCGGGCGTTTCGTCCCTTAGCCTGGCCTGACAAATGGCACTGACAAATCGAGACGACGTGACACTCAGTACGCTACGTGACAGGTCGCAGTCGAGCGCAAGTTCTGATGAGCCGCGAGAGTCAGAAGTACGAGTCACCAGGCAGCCTGCGGATTTCTGCCGGCCCTGCCAGCTGTGCGCGTGCTCATCCATAGTGGATCGACTCACGACCTTCCCAGCTCACCGCAGATCACTGCGGTTTTAGTTAAAGTCAGCCCGTATACTAATTAAGGATGCGCGGTAAGGATGCAAGGGCCTTGGAGGGCGACGTTAGCGTTTTTCGAACGAGGTTGGCCAGCGAGAGTCGCTGAGGATGAGCCGAGGGGGCAAGGATGCAAGGGGGCACCCTCTGGAGGGCTGCCCATCCTTGCCGTGCGGGCTGACTGTACCTGGGGTGGGTCAGAGGCGCTCTCGTGCCTTCCCTGCCGCCCACTCGCTTTTTGCCGCCCCGCCCTGCTCTCCACTGGCCGCGCCGCTCCTTGACGGCCAGAGGTCTCCCCCCACCACCTATGTTCAAATCGGGCATGCCCCTCCAGAGGAATATCCAAGAATTGCTTACAAGTAGTCTGGTGACGACTGTTCGTGTTCTTGTGACTATTTTTGAATTTTTATTTGACAGTGTGTCATTTGTTCTCAAATCCGCCTGTAGAAGGACATGCCCGACATAAATTTCTCTGGTTCCGGACAGCGAACAATCAGGCCTCGGGGTGCATCAGGCGCCCTCGGCAGATACGCTAGGCTTGTTTCTAGCCCGCACGACTGTTGCACGTATTTCGACGCCTGCGCGTACCCCGGTCGAAACCTGGTAGTTTCCTGGCAAACTACCAGCAAGGTCCCCCAGAGCGCCCCAGACGCCCCCCAAACGGTCCAAGAGGCCCCGTGAATCAGGCTGGGGTGCATGGCGCACCCGAGGCGCTCCACACGTGCGAGGCCCCCCCTCGGTGCCCCATCCACGCGCCCGCCAGCCAGGCTCCACCGAGCAAGCGCTTGCCGCTCCTCCGCCCGACGGCCTGTGCGACACGGCCTCCTTCCTCTCCGCATTGCCCCCCCCTGCTCGAACGGCTTCGGGCAGCAGTACAGTCCACCCGTGTAGTAAGGTTGCGCGATAAGGATGCCAGGGCCTTGGTCGGCGATGCATCGCCGACAGATCGGCGATAGGCCAACCCGATAGTGAATCCGCACATTCCTGTGCAGGTTGGGGCTATCGGGCCCCTATCGGCGATCAATGGATGATTCGGGGCCGATGCATCCCCCCTATATTGGGGCGCCCGAAATGGGTACCGAAAAAGTGGGTACAATGCCCAACAGCAAATGTTGTCCCAAACCAACAGCGGCCGCTGTTGGGCAGGCGGCCTCCTGTTTCGAATAGACACAGGCCGCGGCGGCGTGGACAGCGAGCCATGTTCAAAATGAACAGGAACTGCTGTTGGGCATTGTACCAATTTTTTCCGTACCCATCTCGGGCGTCCAGACTGCCCATCCCCCCCTATCCTTGCCCCTGACTTGGCGCCATGACTGGTGCTCTGAGCTTCGCAGGCGCCCCGGGCGGCCCATCCACCCGCAGCAGCGGGCGGCGGGCGGCGCGCCGGCGGCACCCCGGCGGAGCGGCGCGGCGCGCGTGGCGCGCGCGGCGCGCGCGCGCGCCGAGCGGCCCGCCGCGCGAGGGCTCGAGCCCGAGCCGTCCGTGATAGCTGCGGCCGGGGGTAACTTCGGTTGGGGCCCTCGAGGCGCGAATCATCTTACCAGCCAAAAGGCCATGCCAATCTTAGGGATTCGCCCTCAAAAAATAAGGGAATCCCTAAGATTGGCATCGTGATGAGGAGATGCCCAGCATAGGGATAGGGATATGTTCCAGGCTGGTAAATTACCCCTGACCGCCCCCAGCCCAAATAATTCGGGGCTCTCTTGGAACCGAGATGGCCGCGGCGGTTTGAGACGAAGCCAGGAGGAGGATAAACTCGGGCGAGGCTAAATCGAGAAACTCTGAAATCCCGATGCCGCGGGCGCGGCGGCCTTCTCAGAGCGTTCCAGGATGCTCTGGAATCCGCGGACCCTGTCGGCGTGTGACAGGGGATGTTCCGTTGCCATCGCCGTCGCTGCCGCCGTCGCGTCGCCGCCGCCATCACATCCCTCCTTCCCCTGAGTCCGTCGCCGCTCCCCCCCTTTCCCTTGCCCCTCGTCCTCAAGCACGCCAGCCAAAGCGAAATACACCAGCCCATCCACAGCGAAATCAAGCAACATCGTCATTGAGTCGAAGGGAAGCCCCTTCCCTTTGATCCCTTCCCCGCAGAGAGGGGGAGTCCCGGAAGGGGGTCCCAAGGGGGGTCCCGGGTCAGAATACCACACTCCCGGGGCCCATGGCCCGCCCTCTCCCTCCCATTTCCGTCGAAAGCCGAGGCCTCCAGGGCCGGCGGCACCGGCCGTAAGGCCTTAGCAATAGATTTATCCTCGTCCTAGCCCCGTCCAAAGATGACCGCGGGGGTTGCTGAGAGGATAGGTGAGGAGACAACTCCTAGGAGGTCTTCGTCACAACGGTTACGGGCTACTACGTCCGATTAAGAAGCATTTGAATCGGGTCAGGCTGGCTTTAGCCTGGGATTAAACTGGACTGACGGGACTAAGCTGGATTCTTGTATTATTAAACCTGATTTTGCCTAATTTGCCCAGTTTCAGACCAGAGATATACCAGCGCCGAGTCAGAATTTGACATTCCATGAGTTGCATCCGAAGACAGGGGGCCTTAGAAGCGGATGCTAAGGTGGGTTCTATCTGGCCCAGCCTCGCTTATAGTGCGAGGTTACCTATCTCCCTAAATCACACAGGGCACATGTAACCTACTTATAAGCTGGAGGTCACCAAATATAACCGACCTTAGCATCCGCTTCTAAGCCTCCTTATCCCCTTAGCAACCGCCGCGAACATCGGAAGAGGAAAGTGTCAGCCCCTGAGATCCTGGCGTCTCAGGTTATTCGAGCTGGGCGTGCTCGCCTGGCCTCGGGCCCCACGACCCTCACAATCGACCCGGCACGAAACATGGCGCAGAATAATCAAATCTGGGCTCCGCGGGCGTGCTTTTTCGCGGTGTCACCACTCTTCCGCAATGTCGGACCTCATGGGAGGGGAAGGGGAAGGGAAAACGCTTACTTATAATTTTTGGGGTAACGGCCAGTACCTGGGGCGGTCGCAGGCAACGGTGACGCCTGGGCGGGGTGGAGCGCTTCGGAACGGGGGTACGCTGCGATCGCCACGGTGTGCGCGCGAGCATCCGCATGTGGGACGGGTCAAGCACCTCCCCCATCCACATACGATCGTTGTGGTGGGGGTATTGGATGAGGAACCCTTAGATCAGGAATCCAGTGTCTGGAAGCCAGCGGAACACCAACTAATGCTTGGCCATGGACATCACAGTCACCCTCATCAGATGAGGAATCCTGCAGGGTCGGAAGACTCCTGTGCACATTCCTTATCGCACACCCCCAACGTACCGTTATCTGGGGGCGAGGGGGGGATTTGGCCGGCCCAGAGAAAGACCGACACGCTCAGGACCTCCTGGAAGGAGTAAAAGCGCAGTCTTATAGGGGTTCCGGCGAGTGTGCTAGCATGGCATACTCCC